GGAAAATGGAACTGGGGTGGGGGTGGGGCAACTTCACTCAATTCTTTTGTCTCTTCATAAAATGCCCTTTATCCAGAAACATCAACATGTAGCAGAAATGAATTCATCTGTCTCCATTTTGCTACAACTAACCACACTTGTTTCCTACTTACAGTTACAGAATCTGAGTCACTTTAAGGGTAGGTTGACTTCCTAAAGTCTCATAACAATTGAATTAATAGGCTGAAAAATAACTATACCAAAGGGATTCTAGTTCCTCTTGTGCTACTTTTAACTAATGCCAGACTAATCTGCACTTGTTCATCAGATTGGGGTGTGTCCTTTGTCTATTATAATAGGAACTTGTATTTGCTAAAGAGCGATTTCTCTGGTTTTTTTCCTAGTGTGTTAGGCATGAAGAGACTGCTCTAGAATATCAGCCAGGACAGTCTCGGTTTCATTTCTTTCCTCTGTGACAAGGAGCCTACATCAGGCTTCTGATCCATAAAAAAAAAAAAAAGAACAGTTGGGGGCATTTGGCAGTCATTAGACCCAGGAAATGAACAACTGCCCTCCCTTCATTGAGCTAACCAGAAGGATAATGCCCTCAATGTGGGTCAATGTCATTGGCACCAGTCCTGTGCCTGATTTAATTTTGTCTGAATTTGAACCACTTTTCCACTCGAATGCTGTGACTACAGAAGTCACCCACCTAAGGAGGCAGGAACAAGCATTTATTAAACACCTACTATATACTTAGAGATATCTTACTTGATCTACCTAAGAGTGGAAAGCAGTGTACATATTAGCTAGGTAGCTCTTCTGTCCCTTGTGCCTGAGGATGGAGCTGAGGAAGTTAGAGGGCTACCTCTCAGTAGTTGAGATGGAGGATCCCCTTGGAAGCAGCAGTTTTAAGACTGTTTTCTTCAGGGCTACCGTAATTTTTCACTTGGAAAATAATTTAAGTGATAAGCATAAGCCCAGTTTTATTAAAATCTTAGAAACATCCAGTGTGTTCAGGGACTTGCCCAAAGGAGCAACACATGCTGACAACAGAAGGCATATTGACACTTGCCCTTTTTCCCAGTTTAAAAAAAAAAGCTTCCTTTTATCCCCTATCATGCTATATGTAAAAGTTTCTCAGCCTTTGTTCTACAAAAAACAAAAAGTATCAAATCTTTTTCTAAAAAATTGGCAAGGGCTGTTGTTTTCTAAGTCTTAAGATCACTTATCCTTTAGCAATTTAGAAAAAGCTTCTCTAGGATATAAAATCAGGAAAAATTAACAAACCCCCCCAATATTTCCATATATCTCTAAAGGAACGAGAGTGTATGGATAGTAAATTAGGGCCAGAATTCTAGGCATTGCATACACCTGTCCATCCTTAGACTATCCTCAAAGGTCTAAGTTAGAACCAGCAATAGAGCAGTCCTAGACATGTTTAAAATAATTAAATTCACATTTGAAGATGTTTGCTGAAGCTAGAAAGTAACTTAGAAATGGCACAATGGAAAGAAAACATCCTTGGGGTATGTACACGCATATTAATATGTGCAGGGAGATGCAAGACACAGCAAAAGAGAGAAAGCGTCCCTCTGTCGTTTACAACAGAAACATGTCGGCTTAATTCTCATAGGCCTCCATCGCTGTTTCACTTCCTTTGCCGTAAGCTGAAAGGGAAAACGGTCGTAATGATTCTCAAGTGGGATGATGCCAGCTCACATGGGAATAAATATTTATGAGTCATGCTCAAGGATTCACTTTCAGGGTATTTCAATTCTGAAAACTCTAGTGCTATATAGCCCCTATGGCACAATACAGGGCCTGCTTCCAGAATTACCTCTCTGGGGTTTACTGGTTAGATTTCTTTCTCAAAGACCACGCCTTAAACCCGATTTACTCTGGAGCTCATAGATTGGACAATAGGTCCCTGCCCAAGCACCACTTCATGGTTATTTTTTGGGCCCTTCTTGCTCAGAGTGAATGTAAATAGTAACACTTGCTTTAGAAAAATAAGGGGAGTAAACAGATTGAAGATAGAGCTCACTAATTAGCTCCACTAATAATCCCTTCCAAGTCTTGACTTTGTCTTCTGACAGGGTCTGTTTTTGTTCCCATGCAGCTTGATGGAATTTGGAATATCAGAGAAAGAAACATGGTTAGGTTTTTTTTTCAAGGAGTGCTACCTAAACCATGTAGCTAATCATGCCGTATAAAAAGGCTTTGTTTCCTGGCTACGTGCAAAACTTTTTAAATTAACTGACAGTCCCACTGAGAAAAGCCATGCACACACTGATCTGTTAGATTAGGTCGATAAGATTTAGCATAGGAGAAAATATTGCAGTGTGTTCTTTCATTGCCACAGAATGTATCAAGGAATCATTTTCTTTGCACTCCTTCCAGCTGACTTTTACATAGACCTGAACATTTGCTAATTCTTTGAAATCTTTCCCTTGCTGTTAACTGCAATTGAAAATAGACACAGCTTTCCATCTGGAACAACAAACAGGACCCCTACAAAGACACTGGAACCTTTAGCAAAGTTTGCTTCCCCAGAGGACATCTGGTTATTGCACATTTGCATTTCTTTTAAGCAAGGGATGGGAGAAGTAGTGACTTACTGCCCCTGTTCACCTTGCATTTCAGAAACTTTTCTGTCTTGCTTTTAAAAATAGCAGTAATAATAGCAAATATTCATGTAATGTTTTAAGGTTGGCAAAGTGCATTGCATGTGTTATCTCAACATATATTAACAACCCTGTGAGATTCCCATTTTATTATTCCCATTTTATAGATGAAGAAACTGAGGCTTGAAGGTTTAGTGACCTATCCAGAGTCACACAGAGCTAGTAAGTGTCCAAGGCAGGATTCGAACTCAAAAATCAAAGGTCTTCCCAACTGCAAGTGCTGTGAGATAGAAGTTCAGACACTCTACCCTTACAGCTTTACCTCCTCCTGCTTTGCTTCAGCTAGACTGGATGCTGTGCCTTTGTCCACACTGTTCTCCAGCCAAGGTGGGCCAAGCCCCACGTCCCCTTGTTGAATTCTTGGGCCGGACAGGAGAGACCTCAGAAACTATCTAATCCAACCCTCTCATTTTGCAGGTGAAGAAACTTAGATCTGTAAAGGTTAAATAGCCCAAGGTCACATAGATAATAAGCATGGTGGGATTTGAACTCGGGTCCTATGACTAGAGGGCAGGTAGATAAAATAATGGATAGAGTGCAGGATCTGGAATCAGGAAGACCTGAGTTCAAATGCAGCCTCTAACATGTACTAGCTGTGTGACCCTGGGTAAGTCACTTAACCCTGTTTGCCTCAGTTTCCTCATCTGTAAAATGAGCTGGAGAAAGAAATGGCAAACCACTCCAGTGTCTTTGCCAAGAAAACTCCAAATGGGGTCATGGAGAGTCAGACATGATTGAACAACAATCTTGAGAGGTCTACAGAGCCAGCATTCCTTGCATTGTACCGTACGGGGTACCCCTCCCCCACCCATTGAAGACCAGTCCTTAATCCTCCTAGTTAGTACTAATTTATCCCTCTTTGGGACTCATAATAGCATTTGCTTTGCCCATTTATGCACTCTTGCTATTTCGTATTGTATCTTTACATCCTTCTTGTAGATTGTGAATTTCCTGGGGAGAGATTAGTCTTGGTTTGTTTTTTTTTAGTCCATGTATCTTCCCCTAGCACACTGTTTTGTACATAATTGTACTTAATAAGTGTTGAAGTTGAAAGTTTGTTGAATGTATATGCAATAGACCTTATATTAGTTTGTATTATTTAATATTATTGGGGGCAGTTAGGTGGCTCAGTGTCCTGAAGTCAGGAGGACCTGAGTTCAAATTCGGTCTCAGACCAAACACTTGACACTTACTAGCTGGGTGACCCAGGGCAAGTCACTTAACCCCAATTGCCTAAAAATTTTAAAAAAAATTTTTAATTATTTAATGTTATTCATGTGATTTCACAATAACACAGGATTCCAGAAATAAAAAAAACTTAAAATATTTTTATCACTAAGTAGAAGGAAGGTGAAAGGTACCTAGAAAAAGCATCCATCTTGCTTTTAGGGCCATGTTCTACTCACACCAACTCTTGCTGGTGACTTTAGTCCCTTTTTTCTCACTATATATTTTAACAATAACAGCAGAAAAAGCAACATCAGCCGCACATGTTGGAGGTCACTAGCCTAGGCACTGGGTCTACAAAGGAGATGTAGTTGGGAAGTTGGCTTATACAAGCCACGGAAAAAGTGGTTTCATTATTTTATCGTTCAGTCGTTTTAGTCATCTCCAACTCTTCATGACCCCATTTGGGGTTTTCTTGGCAAAGATACTGGAGTGGTTTGCCATTTCCTTCTCCAGCTCATTTTAAAGATGAGAAAATTGAGGCAAACAAGGTTAAGTAACTTGCCTCCTGTCACATAGCTAGTAAGTGTTGGGGGTCAGATTTGAACTCAGGTCCTCCTGACTTCAGGGCAGTTCTCTAACCACTGCATCACCTAGCTACCCCTTTCATTACTTTATGTTCCCACCTTACACATATAGAAGAATAAATAACCACAAGGCAATGTGTTCTAAGTTTCAGATGAGTTCTACAGACAGTAAACTCTACAAGCAGTTCAAAGAAGGGGATAAATTGAATGAAATGTTTGTACTAATTTAAATTAACATAGCATTACCATTCAAAACAATTTTATTATGAATTTAATCAAACAAATGTTTCTATGCACAAAGGACAAAAAGATTTTATGTGATGTTGTAAAATGATACGTTGTTTTGTTTTGTCTTCTTTTTACAAGATCTACCTTAAAATTCAACAAGGGGGGAACAAAATTGTCCATCATCATTTTATTTCCTGAAAATTTATGCAAATGAGGATAGCAGTGAAGGAGAAATAGAATATCTTTGTCCTTCTGCCACCTCCACCAAGCTTTGTTACATCCTGGAATAAAATCTAATTAAATAAACAAGTTGTTGGATATTGTGCTTAAGCATTTATTTGGGTTGTTTCAGGTGGGTCTGTTTCGGAAATCAGGAGTGAAGTCTCGAATCCAAGCCTTGCGTCAGATGAATGAGACCTTCCCAGAGAATGTCAGCTATGAGGACCAATCTGCTTATGACGTGGCAGATATGGTCAAACAATTCTTTCGAGACCTGCCAGAACCACTCTTTACAAGCAAGCTAGGAGAAACTTTCCTCCATATTTATCAGTGTAAGTTGGTTCTTACAGCAATTAGCTCCTTTAGTATAAAGCTAAGAAGATGAGTTTTTGACATAAGCTTTTAAGTCTCCATGAATTTGGGGGCCAAGTCAGGGTGTTAGGTTTAAGTCGACAGTTTTAAATTGCCTTTCCAAAGGTGAAGAAGGAAGGGAGGCTATGTGATGATATGGAGGCAGAAGTATCTATAAAATACATATAACTTTTTTTAATAATTTCACTCCCTTGGAATTATAGGAAATTCAAAGTCAAATATATAGCTGAGGCCAAATTGACCATAAGCAAAAAGTAAATGAGACTACTTTCATTACCCAGCAAATAAACCAGCAAAGTGCCACATTCACTATTTTATTTTCATGGTTTATGTTGTCATTCATTTTCTCAAAGAAATGTTAGCACTGAAAGGCCTAAGAATATTTTATCTCTCCACGATGAGGTACCTTTAATTAAAACATGTATTCTAAGGATTGCATTTTATTTTGTTAGGTTTTTTTTTCTTTAATCAGGGGACAATGTACATTATAGGAAATAGCAGATCCCAGAAATATAAAAATGAGTCTTCTGTAGGGTTAGTGATTTTATTAAAATAAACTGTTGTGATGAAGAAATCCAGTGCACTAAAACCACACATTTGGCCCTATTGAATACAGAGGCTTTCACTGGCTGACTGTGTAGCAATCCTTCTAAAGTTGTTGATGGCACAATATTTATATGATTTGTAAGGAATGTCTTTGAGGAGTTCCATACTTACAGTTCTCAAAGAATCTGTAATGGCAGAATTTCAAAAATGTTGCGATCAATATTAGAAAAAATGGTAGCAGTGGATGCCCCTAAATTGACTTACCTCTGACAAAGTTTATATGTTCAGATGATACCCAGGAAGGATAAATGATATACATTATCTTGCTGGATAAGTGCAGCAATAAGATGAGATAATCACCAGGAGTCAGTTCAGAAGAATTCTGTTTTCAAATACACTATACCTGCAGTTGACTAGAAATACTGGACACAAAACATCAGTGTAAATTAATTCTCATGTTAAATTAGATACTGATTTTTGCTAAAGCTAACTTGCGTCCCAGAAATATTTGTGTAGTCCTGGCATCCAGTCTAGGGAACTAAAGCTCAGTAGTAAAGATGCAAGGAAAGGAGGAAAACAGCATTTATTATATTCTATGTTCTGGACACTGTGCTAAGCCTTGGAGATGTGAATATAAGGCAAAAGATAGTCCCTGCCCTCGAGGAGCTTGCATTCTAATGGGGAAAGGCCATACAGAAAATGGAGATGGTAAGGGAGTGGAAATGAAGGTATGGGGACATGGTTTTTGAAACCCAGAGAAAGGCAGCAATAGGATCAGAAGGGGTATGAAGACAGATCCAACTGGCCCCTCCACGAATTGGAAGCTCTCCAGTAGGAATTCTTCAGTGGGAGAAAGTAGGGAGGATAGGGGTCAGGCCCTACAGTGCAAAAACAATGCTCAGAGTGAGTGGTCAGATAGTGAAGAAAAGTTGAGTTTCAGTCCCTTGTAGAAATTACAAAAGTTAGAAATTGAATGATGCTCTTTGGTTGGGAAAGGTAGGTCTAGTCATAGTCCCATAAGCCTTTGGGCAAATTGGAAGGGGGGGGGGAAATAAATCAAGAGGTCTTTGTTAGACAAAAGAATCTCATTGTCACATAGGAAGCAGTAGATTTCTTTATGATAGACATTTAGATAGATGGCTGCTGTGAAGCTGATAGCTGCTTATAGAAATGACTCCTCAAAGCTGTCACTTTTATATCTGTGGAGAAGAGTTTAACTGAAGTGCTGAATTGTTTGCTTTCACAAAGAAAACTTAAAAGCCAGGCTTCTAAAGCTGAGGGTATTGTCACTCTATACAGCAGTATATTGGGAAGCCTTTCTAGGGGCCCACCGGAATTCACTTGATCTTGTTGGAGAAAACTTCATCTCCAAGGATTTCCATTAGACGTACTGTTTCTTTCATTCTATTGCTTGTTTACTTTGGGACATGCATGGAAGGGTTCCTTCTTGCTTCCCAAACTAAATACTGGTGGAGAAAGTTTAATGAAATGTGGTTAAAAGTTCATGAGTTAAAAGCCCCATACGCCATTTGTATTGTATTTATGAAGAATATGTTCTTTGTGTCTCTCTGTCTCTCTTTGTATGTGTGTCTGTGTCTATGTGCATGTCTCTGTATATGTGTTTCTGTCTCTTTTATACGTGTGTCTGTGTCTCTGTGCATGTCTGTATATGTGTGTCTGTGTGCGCATGTCTCTGTGTATGTGTCTTTACCATTCTGGTGTAAGGCCATTTCTGTACCTGACAATTGTGAGATATGGTTTTTCATTCCCCTCCTGGCCTGATTCTTCTCTTCTGAATTTCAGAACCATGCCTCTTGAATTGCTGGCTCATCCTGTGACTTTCCTCATTGCTTGGGTGGGGCATCCTGTCCCTAGAACAGCCTGCTACCCCAGTAGCCCATTCACCCTGGAACATCCCTCTGGGCCCACCCCCCCTTCTGCTTCTGCGTGGAGCAGAAGCTCCGTCTGGAGCCTCCATTTTGTGGATAGGACCAGGCTGGCCAGCCTTCATTCCCTCCTTTGCCTCATTACTGACTTTGTGGACTTTAAAGCCACACTGGGGGCATCCCTTTCTGTGCCCACCCCACCTCTTCCCCAGGAAGCTTTTTATTCCCTTTGATATGCTGCTGTCTTCCCCCATTAGAATGAAAGCTTCTTGAGGGCAGGGGCTTTCTTTGTTTCTGCTTGTCCATGTATCCCCAGTGATCCACACAGCATAAGCACTTTAATAAATGCTTGTTTTCTTCCTCCTTCCTTCAGACACTGGTGCTATAAACAATCCTAAAGCCTTTGGGAGCTCAGCATCCAGCCAGTCTAGGAGATTGGAATCAGAAGTCCATTCCACCCAACCTATAAAGCAGTATTTTCTCCAAATAATTTGGCTACAGAATATTTTGATACTTGAATTATATGAACAGAATCCACCAATGCTGATGCTAGGGGCTTGGTAGGATAGACTGTGTTACAGAGTAGAGGGTGAAAATATTTGGAGCCAAATAGACATCAGGAGATCATCAATCAATAAGTATTTATTAAACACCTACTACGTGCCAAGCGTTGTGCTAACAATGAGATTACTTGCCACCTAGCCCAACCCTCCGTTTTATAGAGGAGGAAACTGCAGCCCAGGGAGGACGAGTTGCCCAAGGTTACAGAGGTAGTAAACATCAGAGAAGGGATTCGAACCCAGGTCCTCTGTTTCTAAAGTCAGTGTTTTTTCCATTGTACCATGTAGGCCCTCCTAAAATTAGACTTCTCTTCATGTCGTGCTCAGAATTTAACATTATGGTGTTTTATTTAATAAATAATATCTTAGAAAAATATCACTAACATTTAAATTTTTTTTTCACAAAAACCTTGTTTTTATCACAGAATCAAATTTGGAAAACAACTGAAGAATATCATATTTCAGTTGCCACAACAACCGCCGTGTTACCATAAGAATTTGCTATTTTCAGCGATTTTATTGTTCCATCTATCTCATGTATCAGCACCCTCAGTTTTCAGGGACGGGATAGCTCTAGATCGTACACATGGAGACACCATTTGTGTTAATTAAATTGTAATGGACTCTGCAACCCTAAAAGAGAAAAAAAAATGTATATACACACACACACAAATACATTTATTTATTTGTTTGTTTATTTCAGTGTGAGCTTCTTCTTACTTTGTTCAGAAGGTCCATCTCACTGACCAGTTCTTGTCTTTCCTCAGATGTTCCAAAAGATCAACGTCTCCAGGCAGTGCAGGCTGCCATCATGTTGCTGGCAGATGAAAACAGAGAGGTCTTACAGACCCTGTTGTGTTTCCTGAATGATGTTGTCAATTTAGTGGAAGAAAATCAGATGACACCTATGAACTTGGCTGTGTGTCTGGCCCCTTCCCTTTTTCATCTTAATTTATTAAAGAAAGAAAGTTCCCCAAGGTGGGTTTTTCATAACAGTAGCAGGATTTGTATGGGAGGTGGGTCAGGGGTGAGCTGGGTATTCCCAACCTAGCCCTGCCCTAGGGGCGTAAAATTTTTGTTCCTTGTACTTCAAACTTGAGCATGGAAGCATTTTTATTGAGTAAGAAAATTTTCCAAGGCAATTTAATCTTGGTAACTTAAATTCATTGAATTTATCATGATGTCATTTAAGAGAATGACTTTGAGCTTGTCTAGGAAGGTTTATGAGTTGTGTTCTTTTTTGTGGTATAGGAAAGGAAGAAGGCAAAGTTATGTGTCATAAACTCTCATGAGCATGGCTACACTGAAAACCAAAACATGGAACCATGCAATTAAGTGTTTCAAATCTTGGAAAATGGTCCCTTTGCTCCATATATAATTGTTAGTATCCCCATCTTTTCCCAAGCCTTTCAATTACAAATAATTAAAGTGGCAGGGATCCAACCCAATTCAGAATATCTAAGATGTGTGGTAATCATCTTTGTTTAGAAATGAGAAAGTTTGGAATCTGGCTAGCATCTGGTAACGAATGGAAACCGGGAGGGATGGGCTCTGGGTCCCAAAAATATATTTGGTTTTACATTCAGTTATGACACTGGCATTCAATTACAGAGTGATACAGAAGAAATATGCTACAGGCAAGCCGGATCAAAAAGACCTCAATGAGAATCTGGCAGCCACTCAGGGACTTGCCCACATGATAATAGAATGTGACAAACTTTTTGAGGTGAGTGAACGACTCTGGCAGCATTCTTTATAGTTCTTGGAACTCGATGAGACATTCGGAATATTTAAAATATTTATAGTTTATACTTGTCCCCCCATTTCCTTCATATTAATAATAGCACCTTTATTTCTCTAGCATTTACTTGAAAAAGCTCAAAGACATAAGCCTTGAAATGGAGGTTTTGATAAGTCAAACACCATAGACTTCATGACAGCTTTCACGAATGTAAGGGAACAGCTTTGGTGGCCTGTGAGTGCATTATATCCCAGCTATCTAAATTCCCCTTTAGATTTGACTGGATTCAGTATTTCTTGGCACTAATAAACACTGTTCATATTCCTGTACAATAGTCTGTGCATTTGAGCGGTTGGTGAACTAGACCCTTGGGACATTTTAACTCTTAGTGTTTTGGGAATGTGTCAAGAGAAAAAGATACTCTTAAAAAAAAAAAGAATCTTCTGGTTCCTCCTGTTGGTTCTAATTCTTCTTGACAGCATGACTAATGTGAAAATATGTTTAATAGGAATGTATGTAGAGAGTCTATATCAGATTGAATGCCGTCTTGAGGAGGGATATGGGGAGGGAGGAGGAGAAAATGTAAAACTTGAAAGCTTATGGAAGTGATTGTTGAAAACTAAAAATTAATTAATAAATTAAAAATTTAAAAATAAAAGGAAATTATTGGCCTCCCTTCATGGTTACATAATAGGCTTTATAGGATCCAACCTTATTCATACCTGGCTTGTTGCTGAGTCTAGAACTAGACCCATAATAATAATTGTTCACTTATATTTAAATATATTCTTATGTAGTTATATATACTTACATATGTGTACATATGTTGTCCTTTACATTTATAAAGGACTTTTACAGTCATTGTCATTCAGTCCTCACCACAACATCATCATCGTTTGGAGCACCCTGTATATTACTTTTAAGTTTTGCAAAGCACTTTGCAAATATCTCATTTTATCCTCACAAAAACTCTGTGAGGTAGGTGCTGTTATTATCCCTGTTTCGTAGATGAGAAAACTTAGGTATACAAAAGTTAAGTGACTTGCCTAGGGTCATACAGCTAGTAAGTGTCAGGGACTGGATCTGAATTTGGGTATTCCTGATTCCAGGTTCAGTGCTCTGTGCCTTGTACCACCCTTATTGACTACATTTTGCAGAGGAGGAAACTGAGGCTGAGAAATACTATGACTGGCCCAGAATCACGTGCCTGGGGAGTGGCAAGTGTGGCACTTGTACCCAGGTCTTCAGAGTCAAAGCCCAATATTCTTTTTTTTTCTTTTTTAATGACCAAAACTTAAATACACAATAAGAAAAGAAAAAAAAATATTATAAACACATATTGAAACTTAAATACAAAATAAGAAAAGAAAAAAAAGCATATCATGTGCACAGCAGAACGTAAGAGAGGATTCAAAGTATGTAGTAATAAATTTCCATTTGAAGAAAGCCTATATAATGAATACTGTACATTGTGCTGAGAGCTGTCCATCTTTTCTTTACGTCATTGTAAGTTTTCTTTTCTTCTCCGCTGTAAATTTTTTACTTTTTTTTTTTAACTCCTTCTTCCTCCCCCCCTCCAAGGCTACAATTATGCAAGGAGATGATAGATAGATAGATAGATAGATAGATAGATAGATAGATAGATAGATAGATAGATAGATAGATAGATAGATGGGGGTGTATACATACACACACACACACACACACACACACACACACACACACACACACACACACACACACACACACCATACATACATACATACATACAAAGCCCAATATTCTTTATACTACATCATACATTCTCTTAAATCAACCTGATGGAAAATGGATTAAGAGTAAAATAAAAAAGGAAATGGAAAGAAAAACTAGAGAAATCATTGAAAGTTGTCATAAATATAACTTAAGTAATATATGACCTGTATTTCTTAATCTTCCAAAAACAATGTTAATATAAGCAGTGATATTTGGTGGAGGGGAAAACATAATTTAGACAAGATACGTATTATCCGTCAGTTGGTCTAATAGATTGTAAACTCCTCCAGGGCAAGGACTCTAGTGGGTGCTTTGTAAATGTTTGTGGTTTCATTGATTCATCTCCACAGTGATTCATATCATGCCTTGTACATAGTAGGAGCACAGTAAACATTTGTTTAATGAGTGATTATTAATGAAAAAATTTTTGAAAATAACTGTTTCTTTCACTTAAATCTGTTGGCCATCTTCTGGACTAGGTTCCACATGACATGGTAGCTCAATCTCGTAACTCTTACATGGAAGCTGAAATCCATTCTCCAACACTGGAAGACCTGGGAAAACAGCTGGAAGAGAATGGAGGAAATTTCCATGTGTACCTGGAACATCTCATCCAGGGTCTACAGAAAGAAGCAAAGGAAAAATTCAAAGGATGGGTCACTTGTTCAAGCACAGACAGTACAGACCTCGCTTTCAAAAAGGTAATTTCCTGGGTTAATTGACCCCAAAACTTTTCTACCAAATAGGAATTGAGACTTTGTCTTGTTCCCAGGAGTGAAACCCAGAGTGGGTGGAAATTGCTTAGAGTTAGGTTAGACCTTGATATAATGAAAAACTACCAGTTAAAGCTGGTCAAGTGAGAGGAGGTAAGGGGACTTACACTGAGCTATAAGAGAACCTTCGAGATCATCTGATAGAACCTATTAACAAACAAGTGACCATCCAACTTTGTGCTTGAGAACCTCCAGGGAGGGAAAACTCACGACCTGATCAAGCAGCTCGTTTTACCTCTGGGCAGCTCTAGTTGTTGAGAAGTTTTTCATTACATCAAGCACAAACCTCTATGCAGTTACCTACCTGTTACTTATTCCCTCTGGGCAGGGGTCACTATTTTAACAAGAAAAAAATTTCAAAATTGTTTGATCAGATTAATTGAATTTATCATTATGATATTTAAGAGCCAAGATGAACTGAGTAGGACAGCTGATAAGTTTTGTACATCTTTTTGTGGTGGGGGAGGGGACAATATAATTGTCTTTCCTCTTCCACTTGAGAATACTCCAAATACTAGAAAGTAACTATCGTGTCACCCTGAAGCAAGGGCTCTTAACCTGATATCTGTGAACTTGTTTTTAGAAATATTTTGATTGGCTTCCTCTGTAATGCTGTATATATTTTATTTTATGCATTTAAAACCTTTTTTTTTCTAAAAACTCCACAGGTTTTATTGGACTTCCAAAGGGGGTCTGTGACACATAAAAATATTAAAAACACTTGCCCTGAGTCTTCTTTTTTCCAGGATAAATATTCAGTTTTCCTCAACCAGTCTTCCTATCACAATCTCAAAATCCTTCACTGCTTGTTTGCACTCCTGCCTGGTCTCCTAACTTAGAAATGTCCTCTCTAAAATATGGCTGCCATAACTGAACCCAGTAGTACAGACGTGGTCTGACCAGGGCAATATACAAGAAGACTATAACTGTCAGGATCTGGACCTATTCCCTGTTTTAATGCAACCTAAGGCTACATAAAAAATTTTGGCTGCCGTAGCACACCATTGATTCATGTTGGATGTATGGTCCAGTAAAACATCAATTTTTTGTCTAGCCATACCTCTCACTTCTCATTATGCTCCCTTCATGGTCTTGACCCAGCAGTTAACCAGTTCAATGCTGCACTGATCTCCAGTCGTGATTAGCTTTCCCCCTTGTCCTTCTGCCATTCGTGTCCTGCCAGTCTTCAGCCCTGGGTCTCCCTAATTTTCTGCTTTCTCCATTCCTGCTCATGAACTGCTAAATGCTTCTGGAGGAAGTGACATAGCTGTGCCTACCAGGTTCACTCTAATAATCCCAGTTGGACCCTCACTAATGCACAGGAATCCCTTTTATTCTTCCTTGATTATCATGCTTCCACAATAGCTCTTACGAATCTTCTCCTCCAACCCCCCACATATTCTCTCTCAGGAGGCAACTTTCACTCCTACTTTACTGAGAAAATGGAGGCAATCCATCCTAAGCTTCTTAATCTCTCTATTTCCTACCTAAGCCCTTATTTATCTTCATTTGTCTTGTCTTACTCCATTTTCTGAGGATGAAGTGGCTGTTCTTGCCAAGGCTAATCCCCTCTAATGTCTTTCCTTACCATTTCCTCAAGGAGTTTGCCTTCTCTTTCATCTTTATTCTTTCCCTTTCTGTTGTAGGCCCCTGCTTCCTAAATAACATGTTCAGTTCTCCTCGATCCTTTCAAAGCCTTTATTTGACTGCCACTCTCTCAGATGACCATCCTGTCTCCCTCCTCATTTTCATTGTTAAATTCATAATCTTCTCTCACTACTAGTGTTTCATCTCCCTTACTCAACTCCATGCGATCTAAATTCCAATTCTTCTATCCAAATCACCGTCCCACATGTCACCAATGATCTCTTTACTGCTGATTCTCATGTCCTTTCCTCAGACTTCATACTCCTTAATCTCTCTGTAGATTTTGACACTTACTGATCCTCATCCTTTCCTCCTACATACGGGCTTGACTTCCATGATTATACTCTCTCCTAGTTTACCTCCTGTTTGACCTTCTCAGACTTCCTTGCACGGTCATCATCCATATGGATATCATTCCCTCTAAGCAGAAGTGTGCTCCAAGGATCAGCCCATGCTCCTCTCTTGTTTTGTGTTGTTCTTATCTGCTCCCCGGGTTCTGCTTCTTGCCCCCAGTGCAACTGGCATTCAGATCTATATATCCAACCCTAATCTCTCTCACATAAACACCCACTGCCTGTTAGATATCTTGAAGGTATTTGCCATCACCATTTCCGAAATGGAATTTATTATAGTCTCTCCTCCCCAACAACCTGCCCTTCCTCCAAATTTCCCTGTTTATGTCAAGAGCATCACCATCCTTCCTTTATCCCAGGTTCAAAACCTTTGAGTCAGCCTCCTCTATTGCCAATTCCAAGTAGAATGTAAGCTCTTTGAGGGCAAAGGCTGTTTCAATTTTGTTAGCCAATGTAGGTGCTTAAGAAAAATCTGCACATACATCAGTATGAAATGTATATCAGTAAATAACTAGCAGTGTGGCATGTTGGGTAAATAGCAATCCTTGTAGTCAGGAAGACCTGGTTCGAGTCCCACTTCTGATGCATTCTGGCTGTGTGACTCTGGGCAAACTACTCATGCCCTCAGTTCTCTAGGCAACTCTGCCCAATAACATGAGGCAGAACAATTGGTGATTGACTTTGCTTGAGAAGGTTTCCTTACCAGGAGTTCCTTAACATCAGTAAAATAATGGTTCTGTATCTTTACAAAAAGACAAAAGAAATACAAAATAATTTCAAGGAGGGGTACAGAGTCAGGGTGAGCTACTAGTGTTGAGAAGGGGATGAATCAGGACGTATACTTTATATTGAAATTGGTTTTGAAGGAAATTTGAAGGAAGCTAGGGATTCCGTGAGGGTGCAGTTGAGGACAGAGTACACTTCCAGGCAGCCTAGGCAAAGGCATGGAGGTGAGAGATGGAATGTTGTGTATGAAAATGAACAAGTAAACCAGTTTGGCTAGAACATGCAATGCATAAAGGGAAATAATGTGTAATAAGCCTGGAAAAGTAGCATGGAGCCCCCATATGAAGGATCACTTTAAATGGCAAAGAGAAGAATATATATTTTTATTTAAAGGGCAGTAAGGAGGCATTGGGAGCTTTTTGAGCAGGCAGTGACATGCTTAGACTTGTGTTTTAGGGATGTCAGTTTTTGTAGCTTTATGGAAAATGGATTGGAGAAGAGGGCAATCAAACTGTGCATGCCCTTCGACCAAGCAAAACCACCACTAGGGCTGTATCCTAGAGAGATCATGGAAAAGGGAAAAGGACCCACATGTACAAAAATAATAAATTTCTAGAAGCTCTTTTTGTGGTGGCCAAGAATTGGAAATTGAGGAGATGCCCATCAGTTGGGGAATGGCTGAACAAGTTATGGTATATGAATGTAATGGAATACTATTGTGCTATAAAAAATGATGGGCAAGGGCAGCGAGATGGCGCAGTAGATAGAGCACTGGGCCTGGAGTCAGGAGGACCTGAGTTCAAATCCTGCCTCAGACACGTAACACTTACTAGCTGTGTGACCCTGGGCAAGTCACTTAACCCCAGTTGCCTCACCAAAAAAAAAAAAAAAAGGAAAGAAAGAAGAAAGGATGAGCAGGCAGACTTCAGAAAAACCGGGAGAGACTTATATGAACTGATGCTGAGTAAAGTGAGCAGAAGCAGGGGAACTTTGTACACAGTAATAGCAACATTGTGGAATGGTGGACTGATTGACGTAGCTCTTCTCAGCAGTGACCCAAGACAGTTCCAAAAGAAGCATGAAATGGGAGATGCTGTCCACATCCAGGGAGAGAAGTAATGGAGTCTGAATACAGATTGAAACATACTATTTTCACTTTTTTTGTAGCTTTTTCCTTTTCAGTTTTTTCTTATAAGACAGGACTAATATGGAAATATTTTACATGATTGCATATATATAAGCCATCACAAATTGCTTACCATCTTATGGAGGAGGGAGAGAGGAGAAAATTTGGAACTCAAAACTTTATTTAACAAATAATGTTCAAAATTGTCCTTATGTGTAATTGGAAAAAATTAAATACTATTTAAAAGAAAAAAAAGAAAATGAATTGGAGAGAGAAGCGATCAGAGCTGGAGAGCACTTAGGAGGTGATTGCGGTTATTTTTAAATGCATGGAAGGACATGTCAAATTCTCTGAAGCCTGCTTTTCAGCTTGAGGACACTTTCTGAGATCACTTGAATTTGAGAGATTTCTTAAGTCCACACACACCCTACCCCACCCCTCACCAATGATAATATCTACGACTATTTCATCATATCTTTGGTTTCTTTCCCAAAGGTTGGAGATGGAAATCCTCTGAGGCTCTGGAAGGCTTCCGTGGAAGTAGAAGCTCCTCCCTCAGTAGTGTTGAACCGAGTGCTGAGAGAGCGTCACCTTTGGGATGAGGATTTTGTGCAGTGGAAGATTGTGGAGACATTGGACAAACAGACAGAAATCTACCAATATGTTTTGAACAGTATGGCTCCCCATCCTTCTAGAGACTTTGTGGTTCTGAGGTAAGGCTGCTTTCCTTCCCTTAGTACCTTCCACTTCTTTTCTTCCCTCAATGTATGTAATAATCACACCTGTACTTATGTTGCCAGCCCTTGGCACTTGTCCAGCATTACCAACAAAGTTGTATTCCGTCAAAACTTTTCTTCCACTTGCATGCAGGAGGGTGGGGTTTTTGTTGTTCCAAATGACTAAACTTTCTGATCTCTGTCCTTGATAGTATTTTCTTCAGTAAAACCTAACTTTTCCTATGTTTAACACTAACCTCTTCTTCCTTTCCCCTAGTTGCAGTCTTGTCCTGGTTTCCTTTATAGCCCTTCCACAGACAGCATGAACTTTAGTAGACTAGAAACATTGTTCATTTCCTTAGAACAGAGTCCTGATAACAACTGCTGTCTGTCCATCAGTGACTTTGCCTAATTATTCAAATGTTGCCTGCCTGGTTTTTGTCATCATTTCATTCCCCTCCCTAAGGAAAGGCGAGTCTGTGACTGGATTGAGTTTATAGCTCCAAATGTTCACAGCTAATTACTTTGTTTGGAAACACTGATACAGCCTTAAGTATTCATAACTATTCTGGAGTCTTTCTGATGTTTAGGATTTTAGGAAATAACAGAGCTGGACCTAAGTTTGCTGTCTGACTGTTGAAAGTTTGCTCTCAATTGATTTATGGGATTTTGTTCCAGACCTTTGCTTTCTGGGACTGGAATTAGATGCCAATCCAATGATCTTCAGTTTTCACAGTGTAAATGGTCTGATGAGTCAGGATTACATCAGAGAGAAGAATAATTGAAAATACTAGAAGAATCTAATAAAATATAATTATATCAGAGCCTTTTTTTATTGTTAACTGGTGGAAAACAAGCCCTGTTGTGCAATACTTCCCATGGAATATGGATTTTTCAGACACTGCCAGTATAAAGGGAATTAGTAATGGCACTCCCAAATGAATTTTTAAATACTTCATACATGAAATTATTTTTTGACAACAAACTCTAAAATTGTATTTGGTTGCCTTTCTTGCTGGATCCTTATTCTATGGGGTGTGTTTCTCTGCTGCAGTGTCTTTTAAGGACCCATTCATTATAAACATATGAGTTTGTCTCAGCCACCTTAGCCAAAATCTCTGGGACCCAGATGGAGAATGTAGGCAGTTGTAAATATGACTTCTCACCAACAGTTATTTGCTGTCATCTTATGAAATCTGGAGTCTGTTTCCTTACTTTCATCAGGGCAAGGTGGAGGAGGGATGATGCCATCATGTTTTCCTCTTCTCTCACTGTATTGCAGGAATACCACTGAGAACTAAAGTCCTGTGAATGACTAGAGGCCCTCACCCTACGTTGCATCCACCCTCTTTTTGCGTGGCCAGTCTTCCTTCAAGTTTATAATTATTTACTCTCATTTAACATTCCTCTGAAGCTTACCAATGGCCTCCAAATGGCTATTATTACAAATGATGGCATTTGGCCAGTATATGAAATCTCTTCTCCATCCATATCCATCAACAAGCATTTATTAAGTGCCTGCTATGTGCTAGGCCTGGGAAATAATGAGAAAAATGACCATCCCTTTCTTGAAGGAATTTTACTTCTATCTTGAAATATGTCCATATGTATATGTATGCGTATACACACATATGCAAAGAAATATATACATCTTCACATATGTATATAAGCTCAGATACATACATAGAGATTATATATGTAGGTGTTTGTGTGTGTACATATATACACAGAAGTTATGGTAGACGCAGCATCTATTTCATATAATCTAAACTTCTTTCTCTTTTAAAAAAATTTATATCTTTTTCCAGTTATGTGTAAAAATAATTTTTAATCTCATTTTTTAAAATTTTGGGTTCCAAATTCCCTCCCTCTCTCTTGAGAAGGCAAACACTTTGCTACAGATTATACATGTGTAGTCATGCAAAACCTTTCCCAAGATTATTGCACATAACTCTCCTTCATCTGCTCAGTGATGTGGCCGAACTAGATTCCATGCTGTTCAGCACCCATGTCACTTAATCTCCCATCTCCTCACCTTTCATGGGCAAAGCCTAAGGCTTGAAATGCATTTCTTCCTCATCTTCTTATAATCCATACTTTCCCTCAAAGCTCAGCTCGACTGCCATGTTCTATATGAAGCTTGACACATAGTTGTGTAAAAATAAATACTAATTGACTGATTTTGAAGGGAAGGAGAATTGAAGTAGGGCCTCAGGTTAAGCAAAGTCATAATCACCATTACTTTTATTAATTTTTAGTGGAAATCAGGAAGAGCAAAAACAAAGGGAAAAAAACTATAAACCAGTTTCCCTATTGAGTATTGATGCAAAAAAAATTTAAATAAAATACTAGCAAGGAGAGAGACTATGCTAATGTGTCACAAAGATCATACACTATGACCAGGTGAAATTTATACCAGGAATGCAGGACTGATTCAGTATTAGGAAAATAAGCATAATTGACCACATCAATAATAAAAACAACAAAAATCACATGATTATATCAATAGATGCAGAAAATACTCTTGACAAAATGTAGTACCCATTCCTATTTTTTTTAAAAAAATTGGAAAGCATAGAAATAAATGGAACTTCTCTTAAAGTCTCAAGTAGTATCTATCTAAAACCCAGAGCAAGCATTATCTGTAATGGGGACAAACAAGAAGTCTTCCCAGTAAGATCAGGGGCGACACCATAGATATCTCGTCACCATTATTATTCATTACTATACTAAAAATTCCAGCCATAGCTATAACACAAGAAAAAGAATTTTAATGAAAAAGAATAAGCCACAAGGAAACAAAACTATCATTCTTTGCAGATCATGTGATGGTATACTTAGAAAACCCTAGAGAATCAACTAAAAAACTATTTAAGACAATAAAAAACTTAAGCAGAGTTGCAGGATAGAAAACCCACACAAGTCATCAGCATTTCTGTTTGTACCCAACAAAACCCAGCTGGAAGAAATAGAAAGAAATTCCATTGAAAATAATTGCAGATAGTAATAAAATACTCTCTGCCAAGACACACACCAGAAGTATATGGACAGAATAGCAAAACACTTCACACAAAGACAGATCTAAACAATTGGAGAAATAGCAATTGCTCATGGGTAGGCCAAGCTAATATAATAAAAATGACAATTCTACCTAATTTAATTTACTTATGCAGTGGCATACCAAAATACAAAAAATTGTTTTATAAATCTAGAAAAAAAAACCAAAATTTATCTGGAAGAACAGAAGATCAAGACTGTCAAGGGTATCAGTGGGTAAAAAATGTGAAGTACCAGATTTCAACCTGTATTCCAAAACAATAATCATAAAAACAATCTAATACTAGATAAGAAATAGTGTTTGATCAGTGGAATAGTGTGGGTCACAATATATAGAAGTAAATAACAATAGTAAACTGCTGTTTGATAAACCCAAAGATTCAAGCTTTGGGGGCAGAAACTTACTATTTGACAGAAACTGCTGAGAAAACCAAAAAGTAGTCTGGCAGAAACAAAACATAGATCAATATCTCACAACCTGTATACTAAGACAAAATCCAAATGGGTGCGTGACTTAGAATATAAAGAATGATACCATAAACAGATTAGGGGAGCATGGAAAAATGTATCTGTCAGCTCCATGGCTAAGGGAAGAGTTCATGTCCAAATGAGATAAAGACGATCATGGGAGGTAAAATGGATAATTTTGATTACAAGAAATCAGAAAGGTTTTGAACAAACAAAACCAATGTAGCCAAAGAGCCATTCCTCTGTTGATAAATGGTCAAAGGATATGGACAGGTCATTTTCAGAAAAAGAAATCAAAGTTATCAATAGTTATATAAATATGTTCAAAATCACATTACATGTATCAGATTGGCTAACATGACAGGAAAAGGAAAATGACAAATGCTGGAAGAGATGTGGAAAAATAGGTACACTAATGCACACATTATTCTAGAGAATAATTTGGAACTATACCCAACACGCTTCTTCACCCAGTAATACCACTACTTCATATGTGTCCCAAAAAGATCAAAGAAAAAGGAAAAAGACCTATATGTACAAAAATATTTACAGTAGCTCTTTTTGTGGTAGCAAAGAATTGGAAACTTAAGGGATGCCTATCAACTGGGGAGTGGCTGAGCAAGTTGTGGTATTTGATTATGATGGAATATTATTGTGCCATAAGAAATGACAAGGGGATGATTTCAGAAAAACCTGGGAAGACGTAGATGAACTGATGCAAAGTGAAGTGAGCAGAGCCGAGAGAATATTGTACACAGTAATAGGAATATTGTAACAATAATCAATTGTGAAAGACTTAGCTACTCTAATCAAAACAGTGGTCCAACACAGTTCTAAAGAGTCATGATGAAAAATGCTATCTGCCTCCAGAGAGAAAACTAAAGAACTCTGAGTACAGATTGAAGCATATTTTATGTCACTTGGGTTATTTTTTTTTGCTTTTTTTTTTGTAACGTGGCTAATGTGGAAATATGTTTTGCATGACTTCACATATATAATCAATATCATGTTAATTGCACATATACCTAACAAGATAATAGGAAAAAGCTTTTGCTTTACATAAATGGCAGCATGAAAATATTTCTGGGATTTCTTGGGGTTTTCTTGTCGTTGTTGTTTTAGATAATAAAACAGAGCAGAAAACCTGGGCTTGGTATTTGGTCTTGCTTTCTCTTTTATGTCTTGAGCTACAATGTCCTTTGTTGTTTTACTCAGGACCTGGAAGACTGATTTGCCAAAGGGAATGTGCACTCTAGTGTCTATTTCTGTGGAGCATGAAGAAGCCCATTTGATGGGTGGTGTGCGAGCTTTTGTGATGGATTCTCAGTATCTGATAGAACCTTGTGGCTCTGGCAAGTCCAGGCTGACTCACATCTGCAGGATTGACCTCAAGTGAGTATATCATTCCTGGAGCAAACTGAACAGAACTATCAGAATCGACTCACACAGTAAAGCTACTAGAGCTCAGTCCTTTGTCCCTCATCCTATCCCACCATATTATTTCCGTACTTACCCTTCTCTGCTGTTATGGTTGATTCTTCTTGACTTTCTTCTCCCACCTCTTACCAAATTTTGCCTTTGCTTTGCTTTTCTTCTGTTTTGTCTCCTTCCATTCCTGAGCCACCATCTGTGGTGGGCTTTTCAGAGAATCATCTGTCCCAGCCTGTCTCCTGTCTTCCTTCTCTGAGAAGCCAATTCACTTAAATCCAGTGAAGTTTTTGAAGACTTTCATGGTACTGCGCAGGATGGTGTTTTTCTTGGTAAATGATAGACATTGAATACAGCATTTCTTTTTGCCCCAAGGAATTGGTATCATTTTCAAGGAATTCCATCTCTTGGCTCTTGGCCTTTTCTCTGTCTGTCCCTCATGCCTGAATACTCTCCCTTCTCTGCTCTGACTACTGACCTCCCTGGCTTCCTTTAAGTCCCAATTAAAATCACACCTTCTACAAGAAGCTTTGCCCAACCTCTCTTAATTCTAGTGCTTTCCTTCTACCTTTGTATATATATTTGTTTGAATGTCGTCTCCCCTCATTAGATTGTAAGCTTCTTGAGGGCAGGACTGTGTTTTACCTCTTTTTGTTTCGCATAGGGTTTAGCACAGTTCCTGGCACATGATAGGCACTTAAATGCTTGTTGATTGATTAAACATGGAAGACTCACACAGACTTCTTGACAAAAAAGGCATTTTCTAGATATTTGATGACAGACTAATAATTGCTCACATTTATGTAGCACTTTGAGATCTGTAAAGCACTTTCTTCATCATGGCCACATGAAGTAGCTATGGTAAATTGTAGCATCCTCATCTTATGGTTAGAGAAACCAATGCTTGGAAACTGGAGGCAGGGAGAGCAATTAAAAAGCTGTTAAGTTAGAAAGTCAGTATGCAGGAGTTGATAGAGTGCTGGATCTAGAGTCAGAAAGACCTGGGTTCAAATCCCATGTCAGACTCTTACCATCTGTGTGACTCTGGGAAAATCATTTAATGTCTCTGAGCCTCAGTTTCTTCATCTGTAGAATGAAGAGGTTATGCTCTATAAGGCCCCTAGTGTCCCCTCTAGCTCTGAATCTATGGTCATATGGTAATAATAGCTATAGCACTTAGAGATTTGCAAAGTACTTTGGCAAACATTGTCTCATTTGATTCCCCCTAGCAACCTGTGAGGTGAGATACTATTTTACAGAGGAGGAAACTGGATCTAAGAAACGTTGAGTGACTTGCCCTGGTTTACAGAGCTAGTAAATATATGAAGCAGATTTTGAACTCGGGTTTTCCTGACTCTAAGTGCAGTACTCAGTCTGTGGTGCCACAAGGCTGCTTTTCCTATAATTGCCCAGGACCCAAGGACTAGTATAAGAGCCTACATTCAAACCCAGATGTGTCTGACTTCAAAAGTGTTACTCCTTCTGCTACATCTCATGTTAATAAGAAGCAAATATTCATAAGCCTGATCTGACATTTCAAACAAATGTATTGGAAAGAAGTACGAGAATGTCATCATGAACGATGATGGATAATTCTGATTTGGACATTGGTTTTAAGTCTTTTTCTGTTTCCTCCCTTCCCCCACCAGAGGTCACTCCCCAGAGTGGTACAACAAAGGCTTTGGACATCTTTGCGCAGCTGAAGTAGCCAGAATAAGAAACTCTTTTCAGCCTATTATTGCCGAGGGTCCAGAAACTAAAATCTGAAATGGTTGGGGAAAAAAGGGAGAGAAAGAAGAAACTCTTATCAAAGAGAAAAAGATTTGGAGAGTGTTCAACGTGGAAGCACTGAATAGTGGCCGGAAACTACCAGAGGGCAGAGACTTCTCTGCAAGGTCGTCTTATGAAGATGTCCTCATCACTAATATAATAGATATTCTTTTATCAGAGCTTTTATCTCTGTTACTTAAAATTAAAGATTATTACTTGTGCATTGCCTAATTTTGCTATTTAAGCGCTTCTACGAAGCATATTTTAAATTGTAAATAAACTATGTAGAATATGTACATATTTGTGTATATCTCTATATACTGTATATATGTATAGTAATTATTATATATATATATATATATTACATATATCTATAATTGAGTGTTTGGAACAGGAAAACGCCTGTATCATTTTGACCCTTACTTATCCAATGTTCTAGGATCTCCTACATGCAACAGAGATTGAGCAATATCCACCATTAGCAGTCCTAAGACAAGATAGCCGTTGTGATATCTAACCAAAAAATCCCTAACCAAAGGAAAAATAATTTCAGTCATTCTCTTCTGTGCAGACCATCAGTTGATATTAATGGAAAAAAAATATTTAAATGGAGAGTTGGCTGAGATAGGTAAAAGATAATAGTTTCCATTAAAACAAAGTAGCTTTTGATAAGTAATTAGCCATTATGGGACTAGAATGTAAAAAGCAGCCAGTGAGCACCTATGTTCATCAGCCTGTGTTCAGGGAGCTATAAGATATTAATGACTGTTCTAGCTCATGGTAAAGTATTTACTCTATAATAGAAACAGAAGCAGTGTTCCCACCCAAATTTAAAGATAAATTTTATAGCTTTTTTATGCTTAAGGTAGAAAAGAACCTACACTTTTTCTAAAGCTTTCATAGGGACATTTCATAATTTTCATAAATTTAATTCAATTTGACTAATAGACTTTGGTCACAGTTAATTAACATTTTCATACCAATATATTGCACTGATTTCTTAACAATGACACCAATTTAAGAGGAGTAATGGCCATTCAAGAGTACTGGACCATTACACTTTCAGGGAATTCATATTTTATTACATATAATACTTTTTTAAAAATATAGTTCATTGAAGTTTTACAGTTGAAAGAGTGGGTTTTTAATTAACATAAAACCAAAAATATACACCTAAATTAGTTTTAGAAAAATGTACAAGTTTATTAATATCATGTTTCTTCATTAGTCAACTCAAGCTACCTAAGTGTTTGCCCCAACCTTATTTATTGCTGTATAGACTAATCAGAAGACTACCCAAAACCAATTGCCAATGGTTTTTTTCTTTGGGTTTGTTTTTTTTAAATGCGTTCAGCTAATGGTATGAAGAGGTATTTTATTAACATATGGATTCAGTTAGAGAGATTTTTCTTACAGCAAATCATCCAGCAATTGGTGGTGGAGAAAAAGTTTCATTTACTGACTTACAGTGTTTTGAATCTGCTTGCATTATATGCATTTATGTTTTCTGCTGTCAGCAACATGCAGGCATTCTGTAGAGGAGATTAAAAAGTATTAGAGGTGTGAGTACTGAATTGCTTCAGTTACTTACAAGGGAACCTTTGCTGCATTTTTTTTTTTTTACCGGGTGTGAAGGCAGTTATCATTTGAAAAAAAAACTTTTAAAAAAATTGCATTGGGTATCTCACACCCTCTGCATCAAAAGAAAGCCCATAATGTTCTACTGCCATTTGGGCCACCCTCCAGCAACCAAGCAAACTAGCGTCTGCCAGAACACATGAAATTTCACTTCCCGTGTTGTCTCTTTATGTGCATCAAAATAAATGTCATGATCTGACTTCAAACTATCCAGTTACTGGACGCATTTCATCAATAGGGACAAAAAATGGAAAACATATGCAAACAATGGCAGAGAAAGAAAGAAAAAGGAGTCGAGAATCACCCAGAGGAATAATTAACAGAGTGGCCACCAGAAGGGCAAAAAGACTTATTCCTGATGATCCTTCTTTTGGAATTACCTAATTTTGTTCACATTCTCATTACATCCCTAAACTGCCTAACAACATGGCGCACCTTTTTTTAAAAATGTTCATTAAGCTTGTGTCAAACATATACAGTATTTTGTTCATTGTTATCTTGCCATTGGGAATACAATATGACCATTGCATTTTTAATGTTATATTCATATTTATACCTCATGTATATTTTTACCTCAGTTGGTATCAATCATCAATTGTAAATAAATAATTGCCAAGTCAAATAAATTTATATATGCTAAAGAATCTCTTTCCTTCATGATCTGTGTTGGTTTTTATGGTGCATGACTGAACAGGGAACCCTGTTTCATGATCAGATTTTTCTTTAAGATTGCTTCACGTGAACTTCAATTGATAGAGGCAAATCAAATGATATTATATGATTCCTATGTATTCTCCAAAACAGGGATCACACCATTGGCACTGGTACCAAATTGTCATGAAAAAGCTCTGAAAATGCTTTAAGATGTGATGCACTGAAGTCTTAGGTGTGGATTTTTTCAGCATACTTTGATTCTTGTGCTTAGGGTAGAGCCATCTCTTTAAAAAAAAAAACAAATCTCAAATTTCCAAAAAAAAATACTTGTAGTTATGTCTTATTAAGGGATAGTGAATGTTCACCTAAATTTAATCTCCTTTATATGAAAAAAATAATAACTTGAAGAAATTTATTCAGGACAATACTTGAGATATGGAAGAGACGACATGATTTTCAGGCTTCTACACTGTTTTACATATAATGTGCCCTCTGTGCTTTTGTTATAATGGAAGTTTAAGGATTCTTTATTTCATTGAAGACCATAGTCCTTTTCTGCATTGAAAAACAATCTTATTAAAATTGCTGTGGACAGAAAAAAAAAATATATCGCCAGATGGCCAAACATTGTAGTGATTCAATTCAATTCGACATTATTAGGCTAGGGACTAGATCTGTGGTTTCATTGATACAGGTCATTTCCAGATAAGGAAACCTTCTACCATTGTATTTTAGCATGTTCCCTGAAACTTACAGAGCTACCTAATGCAGTGAAAAGTTAATTCACTTGCCCAGAAACAGGACTTCCCAGCTCAAAGGACCATTCTATGCACTACACTGCCTCATTAGCAAATTGCAAATAAAGGTTATTAATCACCTATTTATAAGACATCATGCTCCCTTTTGGATATAAGGGGAAAAAAATATGCCCTGCCCTCAGGATGCTTCTATTCTGGATGATAAGGTTCTCCAAACATAGCTAGTTGGCTCTTGAACAACAAACATACAGTACATTACAAGGCCGGTACTCCGCTGTGTTCCATTTCAGTTTAATGAAAGGTTGAAGGGACATACAATAAAAAGATAACCAGATGTGGAGTCAGGAGACCTCTGTGATGTTGGGCAAAGCATTTAACCTCATTAGGCCTTCTCACCTGGAAAATAGAGAAGTTAAGCTAAATGACTTCTATGGTCCCTTCTGGCTCTAAATTTATGCCCTATCTATTATGGTAGCCATACTGTCCACTTACCAAACCACCATCCCGGAAATGTTGATAATGTTACTCAAGTTAGTTTTTAATAGCTGTAATAAAGTAGTATCTCAACACCTTGCCATTTAAGCCTGCTGGAATTTGGTCTCTTTTTTTCCCAGAAAATACATAAAAGGATTATGCCATTGCACACTGAGCAATCTCATTTGTCTCCCATCCATCAGATTTACTCATATTTTGTTTTCAAAGCCTAAGGCTCACTTTAGAGCAGAGCTCATGATCCTGAGAAAGATTGTGAACAGTGGATACAAGTGAAAGATAGCTTAGTGCTCCTCCTGATGCGCAGAACTGGGAGAATCACCAAATCCGAATGAGAAAGGAGCCTAGGGCATCAGGTCTTATATAGTCCTGAAAGAGAATTCCCTCTATGATAATACTCAGTAAGTGTTGGTACTATCTTTGCTTACAGACCTCAAGTGAGGTGACCTATCCTGCTTTGGATCGCTCTAATTATGAAGGAGTTTTTCCTTAGACTCTGCCTAAATTTGCCTTTTTACAATTCCTGCTCCTGGGCCAAATGACCCAAGTAGAACCCCTATTTGTGTCCCAGCCCATCAAATACTTCACACTGATGGTTTGCCCATTGTAAAAAGAGCAAGGAGATAGGTATTTAGCTTTGTAACAATGTAAAACAAAAGACCAATGAAAAACTGAAATTTTGAACGACTTACACTGCGCTCATGTTGTCCAGTGCTCATGAAGATTAGTCCTTCTGCAGATTATTTAAAAATCATATTTAACTGTAGGCTTATTCTCCACATGTTTTGCACCACCAGGCCACCTCATCTTGATCTCCAGTTGGTACATGCTCCACTTTATGCTAAGTAATACTATGGAAAATATAACTAGAAAGTTAAATATGTTGTAAAAAAAAATTAGAATGAATTCAAAGTGAAAAATGATCATTTAAAAATTTTTTCTATTATTTTGCACCAACATTATTACTGCTCTATTAACCAAGATGATTAAGAGAAATCTGGCATCCCCCTTAAATTAGAATATTATGAAAAATGCAGATACCTCCTTTTGTATCGGAAAAGGAATGATTTGGAGAACTTGTAAAAAATTCCACCTGTTACATGTATCACAATAGCACAGGATTGTTGTTTTTTTCCTCTAGTGTTCGCAAGATGGAAGAGATTATTACCTAATCAATATGCTTACTGGTACCTAGTGAGGTATACAAAAGTACATCAACTCCATAATTAACAAATCTTCTGAGAGTGAAGCTCTTTTATGATGGAAGTATTGACCACCTTAAAAAACCACAACAAAAATCATCATAAATCATGTGGGAATCAATATCAGTCAACTCAATGGCACCATTGCCAGTAAGTGGTGGGAAAGATTTTTATTCGTGTATCCATAGTCAAAGATGTCACTCCTGGACAACCGTAAGAAGTGTGTCTTGACCCTCAAACTCCCTCTCTATTGACTGATCCACTTATTGACTTCTGTTTGATGTATGTTGCCATGTGCATAAGCAGATATGTTATTTTGTATGTCATAATTATGGTATAAAAGGTTTTATCCATTATTAAAAGAATCTTAGATATCCATCAGCAAGATGGGACCTTGAGACCACCACAGCCCTCAAGCTGTACTCTTAAAATCCTGGGGATTTAGAACTAGAATGAAACCCCTCACCCTACCAGAACAAACACAAGTCAAGTGATTTACCCAAAACAAAGAAAATAGCCACAGAGCCTGAGTCCCAGACCAGGCCTTCTAGCTCCAAACACAGCATTCTTCACCACAACATGCCTCGCTATTTGGTAATTGAGTCCTTGACTGGGCAAGGCAGGGAGGTAGAAAGCGATTGTCCCCACATTCATCTATCTAGACAGGACTTGGGTGAATCAAGCGACTATAAAGTGGAAGCCAGATCTACTTTAGCTATTGAATGGCCAGAGTTCCTAGAGGCAAAGGGGTGTTTATTCTGTCCTAATCAGATTTCAGGTTATAGAGCAGGATTCAGAACCTTTTTTGTTTCATGGACTCCATAAACAATCTGGTAGTCTATGGACTCCTCAGAGTCATAAAGTAAATGTTAAATTTCAGTTCAAGATGAATCAAAATAAAGATGCAATTTTTCCCATCCAAGTTCATGGACCCTCTGAAGTCTCTCTGTCACTCCTTAGGGGTAAGAACCCTGGCTCTAGAACCTGGCTGATACTAGCCTTCTTCCACTTTGACCCTTTGATCTCTTCTCTTCTTTCTCTTCCACTCCATTCCTTGTATCACCGTCTGGTTCTCTCCTCTAATTTCCTTCTGCCCTAAAATTTGTAGAGGCTAGTTCATATTTTTCACTACATTTAATAGTATTTTGTATTTAATATTAATATGGTATTTCATTTTAATGCTATTTTTGTACAGCAAAGCTCTTTTCTAACACTTCATAATGCCTTCTTATGTCACGCATGTGATTGCTGCCTGTGCTAATAAAATAGCTAATACAGGAGTGTGTCATTGAAGTGCATGCCCTTTGTTTTATGCTTCTATTTATGCCATGGTTCCTGCCTTCAAAGAGCTTGAAATCTAGTTGGCAAGATAATTAATTTTTTTGGCAAAAGAATAAAGTAAATAAAAACATATTAAGTGAAATAACTTAGTTGTATGTCACAATGAGTGTCTATGGGATTCAGAGGCCATGGGAAATTGGTGGGAACTAGGATGATAAAGGTTTTGTAGGGGTCGTAGAGGTAGAGCTGAAAGGGACCTCAGAGATCATTTGGTTCATGAAGATTTTATTTTATAAAATTTATAGATAACAAAACTGAAACTGGGAGAGGCTGACTCTCTTGCCCAAGATCATATAAGATAGTCAAAACAGAACTACAAAAATCTGTCTCCTACAAACAGAGCTACAAAAATCCTGTTTGATGGATATATATCCCAGGATTCACAGTGTTATAGGAGAGGCTTAAAAATAAATTTTTATTGACATCCTTTGTTTCTTATGTCATCATAGTTATCCCAATGGTCTCCTTGTCCTCTCCCAGAAAGCCATCCCATATAACAAATTGTATTTTTTTTAGAGGGGAAAAAAATCAATACAACTGATAGATACCTATGAAAATGTCCAAAAACAGGTGCAGTGTGTAACAGCTGTAGAGTTCCCCTCTCCACAAAGGAGTGGGTTGGAGATGTTGCAGAGGCAGTAATTTGTGCGGGGTACGGTGTGCAGGAAGGGTGATATTTTTGCACAAAACAATGATGCCATTTCCAAACGTTTGTATCATACAACAAAGGCTGTAGCTTAATGGAATTGAATAGGAAAGCAGGCAATGCCACCTTTCTTGGAGAAAAGAGGAAAAAAGAATATTTTGTCATTTTCATTCAAAGTTTTTGGAGCATTGAACAAACAAATGCCAACATCCCTATGTTGAACTATCTCACTCAAGGTGATACTGTGAGTCATGCAGAGTGAGCAATATAGACTCCAGGCTGACTGGATCCCAGGCCTGTCCTCTCTCCAGCAGAGACACAGACAGTGAGTGAGCAAGTAAAAAATGAGTGTTGTGAAGGGTCTGTGGATGCTATTTGTAGCTGTACCATTATTTGTATTTGTATTTTTTTTCTAATACCATTTGGTGGTGCAGTGAATGGGGTGCTAGGGCCTGCAATCAGGAACATCTGAGTTCAAATATGACCTCAAACACTTTGCTCTGGGCAAATAACTTCATGTTTTTCTGCCTCAATTTCTTCACCTGTTAAAT